AAAGGCCCAGAAACAGACAGGAACAAGTATACCAAGAGATGAGGAAAGCATGATTTGAGATAGATAACAAGGAGAGCAGCAGAGAGTTCAAGAAAGATGGGGAGGGGCACCTGGGTGGCTCAGTCAGTTGAGCCTCCGACTTCGGCTCAGGTCATGATCTCACAGCTTGTGAGTTCAAGCCCCGCGTCGGGCTCTGTGCCGACAGCTCGGAGCCTGGAGCCTGCTTCGGATTCTGTGTCTCCTTCTCTCTCTGCCCCTCCCCCAGTCACGCTCTGTCTCTGTCTCTCTCAAAAAATAAAAACAAACATTAAAAAAAATTAAAAATAAAATAAAATCACAGTAGTTATTAGACCTTATTAGTCAGGAAACACAAACATTACTCGTTATTCAATGAAGAAGAACAAACATTATGCTATCACAAAAATGGTCTATGAATGTTGGATTCATGTATTTCAGTCTCATTGGTTTTCTTTGTCAGCCATGTTTTTTATTGTATGCATTTAGAAAACATTTACTCTGAGAGGGGTCCATAGGTCTCAACAGACTGCCAAAGGAGTCCAAAGGCACCAATAGGGTTAGGAACCCCTACTGGCTTCTCTTAGGGACACGCTCCTACAAGGACTAATATTAATTAATTTATTCACTAGTTCATTCCACAGATATGTGTTGTGACAGATACTGTACTAGCCACTATCTGAGCATAACAATAAGTAACAATCTGCCCCTCCCCTCACGATTACTAGGATTTATGGTCTAGCGAAAGACAGAGAACAGCAGGTAATCACATTTCTGTGAGAGGGATCCAACAGGGTGATATGAAAACAGAGAGTGCATTAGTCTATATTGGGCATTTGAGGAATGGAGACTGGCAGATTTTCTGGAAGATGTAACATCTGTGTGAGTTCTTGAGAATGAGTAAGGACTAGTTAGGGAAATAAAATTTAGGGAGGGAGCCGGTATTGGGGAAGCTATGCATGCAAAGGTCCGGGGGGCACTGAGTTGGTACATTTGTGGGGCCATAGTTCGTGGAGGATAGTGAGACAGGGACTAGCTGATGGAGAGGCATGGGTTGATGCAGCATCTTTTATGCTGTGCCCCAGAAAGAAGGCTTTAGAAAACCGAAGTAGAGTTAATTGCAAGGGAGGAGTGTTCTGATCAAATTTGTGATCCAGAAAGGTCACTAGGATGGAAGGTATAGCAAGATCAATTAGAAGATTAAGTGTGGAGGCAGAGAACTGATTGGGAAGCAGTGGTTATGATCCGGGTGAGAGCCAAGGGTTTGGCCACAGTAAAATCAGGAGACCCAGAGGAAAATGAAAGAGTTCAAGAGACGCCAGGTAACGGGAGCTTGGGGATTTACAGGATATAGGATGAGGGAGAGAGAGGAGTCTCTAAGATGTTGGGGGGGGGGTGGCATTCACTGAGCTGAAGAATGTCGCAGGGAGAGGGGGTGCATTTGGAGTGATGGGATCCACTTAAGATTTGATAAGTCTGAGGTTCCTGTGGAAAAACTGAAGGCTTGCAGCTCAGCTAAAGGAGAGGAGATGTATCTGGTTCTAGTTTGTAGCTCCCTGATGGTTAAATGTCCTTCTCAGGTCAGTATCCTCACTATCCATTTTCTCCAGGAGTTCCTGAGATTCTCATTCTCCCTCATTGTTTTTTTTCTCCTGCTGTGCTCCTCGAGGGCAAACATTTATATTACAAGTACTTAACATAGACTTAGGCTCAGGAGCCGTTCCTCTCTTTCAGAGTAGATGGGCTGGTCGTCCAAATACCGGAAGCCGAGAGAAGCCACTGCCTTTAACAAGTAGTTGGTGGGAGCCATTTACTTTAGCCGGGATATGGAAATGTCCACCCTCCATTGTCATGATTAAATCTTGAATGGGGCCAGTTTGAATTATGTGAGATGTCCAGTATCACCCTTCACCAAAGACGTGGGACCTCTGTAAATGGGTCAAGGCATGTAGAACGGTGTACGATTCAGCCCTGCCTCTCCTGCAGGCTCAGCGATACGAGGCAGCTTCTACAATTTATGGACCACATACCCTGTCTGCTTACATCCAGCTCTTCAGAGCCCTTGCTAAGGCCATTGCTACGGTAACCAAAACTCATACGTGTGTGCGTGTGTGTGTGTGTGTGTGTGTGTGTGTGTGTGTCTCAGGGGTGGGGAGATGCGGAGGAAAGCCAAAGAAAACCTTAGCCGCAAATGTTCAGTTTTTTCAAAACCTTCATATTTAAAGAGTTTGTAGTTATGAGGTACCTCTAAGAAATGAAACCGATAGTGAATTCAGATTCAGTTAATACATTTTGGTGGTGACAGCTTTGCTCATATGTATTATCTCATGGTATGCTCATGATCGTCATGTGAATATGGCGGTATCATTCCCCCCCCCACCCCCCACTTTTCAGATAAGCAAATTGGTTTGGAGATGATAGCTCACCGGGCTTACTCTAACTGTAGCTGGGAGTTGAACCAGTGTTCTCGAATCCCGGTGATGATCCTGCCAATGACATCATGAGTTGAGTGGGTCATTCCTTCTGAGATGCCCACTTTCTGTATTGTAGCATCTCTGAAATCGGGGTGCGCCTTCCAATCAGAGGAATCTTATGGTTAAAATTAGTAGCATGTTTTTACTTTCTTGGTGGTTCAAAAACAATAGTTGCTATAATCAATAGAGGCTTAGATGCAATGAAGTACAGCAGGTGCCTTGGAATGTGCATTCGCACGCATCTACCTAGAGTAAGTGCATCTAAACAAGTTTCCTTGAAAGAACTCCACTTATGGACATCTTCTTCTGGGATGCAGTTATTAATGAAACTGACTCTGGTGTCAGAAGATTACTCAACAAGCAGGATAAAGGGCATAAAATAATAAACAGATCTTTATATAATACCCCATAAGCCCCAGTAAAGGCTGAGAAAGAATTGGGGCATAGCACAGACTATAAAGCCTTTTCAAAGGAAGAGCTTGGTCATATCAAGTTGAAACAATGAAACACCTGTTTCTGTGGGTCCAAAAGTTGGATATTGGCAATCCCAGTTTCAGTAGGAGGTATTTACGTAGGGTCTATTTTAATTACCCCGTTATTGTATTATCATAACACTCCTTCAGCTTCAGCTCTGGTACTTTTTTTTCAAAGTAGAACTGCTTTGATTTTCATCATAAAGGCTGTAACTAGTTATAGAATATTCAGATGATACAGCAAAGTAGGAACCCATAACCCACCCTGAGAGATGGCCTCTGTTTTCAGAGTTGTAACTTTCATTTACAACTATACGTCTACTGTTCCTCCCATAGAAATAGAATCTTCAAGTTTTATAGTGATACTTAGGAAGAAAGTGTGGTTCATTTTGTAGACATTTGTGTCACAGTCGATGTTATGCATCTGTATCTAAGATTAGCTCTGCGATCTTTAAAAAGAATACTGAGTATCTCCAAGCTGATTTTCCCACTTGCAAAATGGGAATGCCAATCGATATTATGGCCATTGAAAAAGATTAAATATATAAAGTGAGGATTAGAGTACATTATGAAGGACTACTTAAAATTTGAGATCAGCGTTGCGATGGCACTATTAAAGGTGACAAATGTGGAAAACATAGGTTAAACCAGTCACGATATATGCTGATCTTAACTTTTAACTTAAAAGAGTGTTGATTGTATTTTTTAATTAGCACAGAGAAGGGTCTAGGGAAAAAAAGAAAACTTGGTACTGACTCTGGATAAGAGAGGTACAACACTTTTTAAAAGTAAAAGAGCTTATCGTGTGTCCGGCCCTATCCAAAGTCACACGATTAAGGAATGGCGGTCCCAGGATCTAACCCTGAGTAGTGCTTACACTCAGATAGCTGAACTATACTGCCTTGGGCAGGGGGGCGGGGTGAAAGTATTGCCTATGACCCAAATTTTCCTCTGGCGACCAAAGTTTACATTCTGGATGTCTAGACTCACGTCTTAGCAAGTTCCCCCACATCTTGTTAAAGCTGTTAGCTCTCAGAGCGAGGATGTGTGTGTGGGCATTTCCTTTAATGAAGGCATTTCTGGGAGGTGGGAGCCTGGGGAAAGGGGCTTTGACTCTACATTGTGTGCTCCTTAAGCAAATGCTCTCTGTTCTAGGACACGGTAGCCAACCTGAGCAGAGGTCCAGAGCCTCCATATTTCAAACAACTGATAGCCTCATTAATTCCCAATATTGTGGATAGAGCACCACTAGGCAGAAATTTTGGGGATGTTCTGCAGCCCGCGAAACCTACATACAGAGTGGTAAGGCTCACCGGGAGATCCAGAAGCCTGCGTCTGGGGATGGGGGAAAGATATTGTCTAATGTCACCAATTGCCTCTAATCATGATGCAGACCAGCTGTTAGCAATGATTTTGAAAATTGTTCTTAACTCTGCAGGGCCTCTGCAAACATCAGAATGGGGAAATATTTATTTTTCAGGTGGTCATCATGTAAAATCAAATTTCTAAAATCCAAATTATTCTTTTCTTAATTTTTTCTTTTCCATTTTCTTAAATGGATGAAGAAAATTCATTTTATTAATGGATGGTCATGGAACCATTTGTTGGAGCTAAGAAAAGTCTCTAAAGTCAAGGACAGAAAGAGCTTGTAGAAGTGAAGCAGGACTATGCCACTATTTTACATTGATCTTGTGTCCTGCAACTTTGCTAAATCATTTATCTGTTCCAGTAGATTTTGGGCGGGGGATGTGGATTCCTTACATATTTCTACATATGTATCATGTCATCTGTGAATAAAAACAGGCTTCCTTATTCTTTTTTGGATTTCTTTTCTGGATGCCTTTAATTATTTTTCCTTATTGCACTGGCTGGAATCTCCAATACGATGTTGAATAGAAGTTGTAAGACTGGGCATCATTGTCTTGTTTCTAATTTTAGGAGGAAGAGTAGTCATTAAGTATGATGTTTTCTTTATGATTTCTGTAGATGCCTTTTATCAAGTTGAGAAAGTTCCCTTGTAGGCCAATTTTTTTCTCTTTTTTCTTTCTTTCTTTCTTTCTTTCTTTCTTTCTTTCTTTCTTTCTTTCTTTCTTTCTTTCCTCTAAGAATAGAGGTTGGATTTGTTTCAAATGATTTTCTATGTCTTCTGAAGTGACCACGAGGGATTTTGTCTCTTATTCTATTCATATAGTGTATCGCATTTGTTGATTTTCAGATATTAAATAAATACCCTTTAGTAATGGTGTATAATCCTTTCTATATGCTGTTGCATTTGGTTAGTTAATATTTTGCTGAAGTTTTATACTCACGTCCATGAGGACTTTTGCTGTCTTTTCACATGTTGTCTTAGTTGCCTTTTGTGTTAGGGAAACACTAGTCTCAAAGAATGAGTTAGCAAGGGTTTCCTCCTGCATTTTCTGAAAGTGCATAGAACATATTGGTATTATTTCTTCTTTAAATATTCTATCAGATTTTTCAGCAGAGCCACACGGACCTTGGCTTCTCTTTATGGCAAAATTTTTATTTACTAATTCAGTTTCCTTACTCCTTATAAGCCTAACCAGATTTTCTATTTTTTCTTGAGTCAATTATGTATCTTCTCAGCATTTAATTTGTCTTGAGGAATCTGTATCTTCCTAAAAGTTTGGATCTTCCTAGGAATTTGCCCGTTTCATGTGAGTTGTCTACTTTGTTGAGATAAAGTTCATAATAGGTTCTCACAATCCTTTTAGTTTCTGTAGGGCCAACAACAATGTCCTTTCTTTCTTCCTGATTTTGATAATTTCTGTCTTCAAAGCGCTCGCTAGCTTTTAGCTTCATTGATTTTATCTTCTTTTTTTTTTTTTTTCTGTTTCTATTTCACAGATTTTTGCTCTGGTGTTCCGTATTCTTCCTTCTGATGGCTTTGATTTTATTTTGCTCTTCTCGTTTTTTAAGGTTGGAAGCTCTTCTTATGTTTGAGTGTACCTTTTTTTTTTTTTTAATTCCTCTGTTGATTTTTAAAAATGATAGATATTTTTAATTATTTTTCTAGCCGTTTTCGAGACTCAAGAAGTCTCTCCTCTCCACACTCTATACTCGGTAGTTGTGACAGCAGGTGTATAGAGGTTCTCCCCACACCAAGCAATTCTTTAGTCCTCTGCAGACACCCCGTTGGTGTCCTACAATTGAATTCACTTCTGACACTGTCTGCTGGGGGTTGGCACATACTCCACAGGTTGAGGGCTCAGTCCCACAGACCACACCCCCCAGCCCCTCACGCTTCAGATACCAACGGCCAATCTAAGTTGTCGCATCTGCTTCTGACCCATTGGCTATGAACTGGAGATCCCCATGAGCCCCATCTCGGGTTAAGTAACTTGCTAGAACAGGCTTAGAGAACTCAGGAAAACAGTTTACTTGCTAGGTTATACACAGATACGACTCAGGAACAGCCTGAGGGCAGAGACGCAGAGAGGGCAAGGGGTAGGGGAGGGAATGTGAAGCTTCCATGAGCTCTCCAGGAAGGGCCCCCTACCAGCTTCTCCAAGCATTCGCCAACCTAGAAGCTCTGGTGAACCCTAGACTTGAGGGACTTTTATGCTGATTAAATCATCAGCTGTTGATGATGAACCCAACTCCCAGCCCCTTTCCAGTCCCTGGAGATCAGGGCGTAGGACTTGATCCTTTCAACCGTCTAATCACCTGGTTGATTACCTGGCACCAGCCCTCACCTTGAGGCTATCAGGAAACCCACACCAAAGGCCATGTCTCTAAGGTGCAATCAGACCCATCCTTCGGGGATTCTAAGGCTGGAAATGTGCCAGGAAATGGGGGCAGGAAGGGAGGCTTAACTGACTGAGCCCCCCGCCAGGCGCCCCTAGAATATTTTGAATTGAGCCCACATATTTACCCTTCGGGTGCTGCTTACTGTTTCTGAGGAATTTGAGTTATTGTTACCATCTAGCTTCATTTCCTTTCAGCATGAAGAACTTCCACTGGTATTTCTTGAAGGGCAGGTCTGTAACAACATAATCTCTCAGGCTTCATTGATCTGGAAGGGCTGTATTTTCCCTTTATCTCTGAAGAACATTTCGCTGTGTTCTTGGTTGCCAAATGTTTTTCTTTCATCACTTTGAATGTGTCACACAGTTGCCCTGTTCTTTGCTCTCTAATGAGAAGTCAATTGCTAATCCTGGGGTGTGCCTGTACGTAATGCATTATATTTCCCTTAACTGCTTTCAAGATTTTCTTTTCTTTTTTTGTCTCTGACTGCCACCCGTGTGCTACAACGTATCTAAGTATGAAACACTTTGGGATTATCCTACTTGGGATGTGTTGAGTTCCTTGGCTCCTCAAGGTAACGTTTATCAAGTTTGGGAAGATTTCATCCATTATTTCTTCAAAAAGAGTTTTGTTTGTTTCTCTCTTTCCTCTAATTCGGTGTCTTCTGTTTTGTGAATGTCAGTATACCTGAGGTCCCATGTGTTTTTGGTTTTTTTTGAGGCTTTATCAATTTTTCTTCACTTTTCTCTGTCCATTCTTCTGATAAAATAATTTGTAATTGATAAATGCTAGTTCACTTATCCTCTCTTCTGTCATCTCATATTTGCTATTAAGCCCTTACTGGGGAATTTCTCACATCAGTTGTGATTTTTGGTTCCAAAACATCTGATTGGATGCTTAATCCATCTTTAAAGTTACTTCTCCTAGGGTGCCTGGGTGGCTCAGTTGGTTGAGCATCTGACTCTTGATTTCAGCTCAGGTCGTGATCGCATGGTTCGTGAGTTTAAACCCCACATAGGGCTCTGTGCTGATAGCGTGGAGCCTACTTGGGATTCTCTCTCTCTCTCTCTCTCTGCCCCTCCCCCCCATTCTCTCTCTCTCAAAATAAACAAGTAAACACTTTTTTAATTAAAAAAAATAAAATAAATAAAATTACTTTTCTTCACTGAGGTTCTGTAAGTCATTATCATCATAAGAATTTCTTCAGTTCTTTACACATAATTTCTATTAGTTCACAGAACATCCTTATAACAGCTGCTTTGAAGTTTGTGTCTGGTTTAACGACAATGTCTGGGGGCACAGAAAGTCAGTTTTGATTGCTCTTTTTCCTCTTAATATGAGCCATATTTTCATATACACACATCTCATCATTTTTTGTCGTTGAATCCTGGATGTGTTTTGCTATATTGTAGCAATTCTGGATTCTGGCCTCACCTCTCCACTCCCGGCCTTGTTGTTTTTGTTTGTTTGTTCGCTCATCGAAAACTTGACTAAATTAGTGAGCTCTGTCTCTCTTAAGTGTGGCTCTCAAGGTGTTGCCCCCGTAGTTACCTCACTTAGTGTTCAGCCCAATATTGATCAGAGTTTGTGCTTGGATGCTTCAGGGAGTAAATTTCAGTCTCTGCGGACACAGTCTTCTCTTGGCTTCAGGTGGTTGTCTTACAGAGTTGAGAGGAACTTCCCGCACCTCTCCAGAGTTCTCTCTCTCTCTCTGTGGCTCTCCTCTGTCCGGTGCCCTCTTCTCTCTGTCACTCTACCTCGTCAACACAAGACTTCCTGGCCTTCGCGGACTCCACAAGGCTGCCTTACTTTGCCTGAGCTCTGCCTCTTTGTGCTGTGAATGGCACGCTCTCAAGGCGTTAAGTTGGGGAAATGGCAGGGCTCACTGTGTCTGTTGTCCATCACTCTAGGATCACTCTTTCCATTGCTTGTTTTCCTTGCCCTGCAACCATTGTATAATACACACCTGTCCAGCTCTTCTAGTTGTTTCCAGTGCGGGGGATGGGGCGGGGGGGGGGGAGGGGGAGACACACACCCTGTCATTCTGCCTCGTATCTCGTTCATGCCAGTGTAAGCACAAGCCACTCGTGGGAAGTTTTGATCGCTCTTATGGAAGTCAGTCCATTTCCTATATGTGTGTTGGAGGGAAGTGTGAGAAAATAGCAAAGGCTGAAGAAGCCGCTTTAATGCGCTGTCGCTGACATGAACCATAGCTCTCTGTTTTCATCTACATCTGAATATACTAAAGGCAGATTCACTGGCGAAAAATTGTAGAGCAATTTACTGGCCCCAAATTCCTGTGTCCACTCTTGCAAGGGCATGTTCTCTGATATTCTGAGAAGATAACTCACTTGGTTAAATAGAATAAAATCTGTACAGGTGCCCAGCATCCTAGAACATTTCATAAATCGTGGCCTAAATCTGAGCCCAGCAAAGAATGCTTTTATTAAAACTCATAAAATGAGTTTTTATTTTCAGGGAGAAGTTGCCGAAGTGATATTTGTAGGCGCTAACCCAAAGAATTCAGCAGAAAACCAGGTAAGCATCAATGATTCTTTTTATAGATTTCAACCCACTTTTCAGTCTTTGAAAATCCTTCTAGAGGTTAACAACATAATGACAAAATATTCCTACTTGATTTTCATCTTATTTAAAAAAATTTTTTAAATGTGTATTTATTTTTGAGAGAGGAATAGAGAGAAAGAGAGAGAGAGAAACAGGCAGAGAGAGAGGGAGACACAGAGGCTTCTGAGCTGTCAGCACAGAGCCCCATGCAGGGCTCAAACCCACAAACCATGAGACCGTGACCGGAGCCGAAGTCTGATGCTTAACTGACTGAGCCACCCAGGTGCCCCTCATCTTATTTTTTTAAGTGTGGGAAATTTTTCAGTAGGAACAGTAATGTAGAATTAAGTCTGGGAAAAAAAGCACATGGAAACATTTAACTGGCTCTGCTTGGGCTCACATGTTGCACAATACAGAAAGAACTGCACTATCTCTTGAGAAGATATAAATTTGAGTACAATCCCATTTATGTATTCCAATTTAGAAACCCTACTAAATTTGGGAAAATAATCAAAGTGCCAAGGATGAAGTGTATCTTTGGTTCCTTCCTGCCCCTGTTTTGGCCCCTCTCTTCCAGGATCCTGGCCTCTGGTCCTACCTGTACTGTCGTGGAGGGGGTGCCCTCCTGGCTTGGAGCCCTTTATCTTGCATTTGCCATTTCCCTACTCTTTACTACTGGCGCTAATTGGATATTTATTTCTTTACCTCAAAAAATGACACAAGAAATACATGTTCAATGTAAAAATAGGCAATATAGAAGGTTTTTAAAGCAGAATAGGAGGGGCGCCTGGGTGGCTCATTGAGTTAAGCGTCCGACTTCGGCTCAGGTCGTGTTCTCATGGTTTGTGGGTTCGAGCCCAACATCGGGCTCTGTGCTGACCGCCTGGAGCCTGCTTTGAATTTTGTGTGTCTGTCCCTCTCTGTCCCACCCCTGCTCGTGTTCTGTCTCTGTCTCAAAAATAACATAAAAACATTAAAAAAAAATAGAGTTCGAAAGTACCTGTCTTTCCATAAACGTTTTTAGAGGTAATAATTGTTCATAGTTTGTTACATATCAGTTCATACTTTACTGTTTTTATATCCACATAGAAGACACATGACAAAGTGCACATATGTAATATGGCTATTAATAAAATGAATTCATTTTGCTCCTCTGTAACTCCTTTAGAATGTTCTCATAACTACCCAAGCAATAGCTAGATATGTTCTAGTTGTAAAAATTCAAACAACAAAGAAAGCTGTAGAAGAAAAGGAGTAAGTATACAAAAATGATTTCAAGGTCAGGCTTTTTTTTATTGTGGTCGAGGGTACATTTATTCCGTCCATGAGCCATTCTTCCCAGGGACCATTGTTACTTACAACCCCAAACGCCTTTTCTCCCAATCTGCCTTCCATTTCCGTTCACTGAAATCTCATTATTGCTGTGATAATGATTGTGGCCAGAGGACATTGGCAAATATGCCATTAGGGAAAAATGTTCTACTGCTTGGAAAGTCAACACGCACCTGTTTGCAATAATTTCTCTAGGCAAACTCTGTCATAATATTTGCATGTTTATAGCATTGTTTTCGGGAGATCTCAAAGTGTGATAGCAAAACTGCAGGATTAATTGTCATTTGATATCCTTAGGGCGGAGAAAGACTAATCATCACTATTGCCATGGAGAAGCAGGAGAACAAAATGCTTAGAGCACTGTAATGAGAAAATAATTAATTCCTTAAAAAATTTTTTTTTGTAATGTTTATTTATTTTTGAGAGAGAGGGACAGAGCACAAGCAGGGGAGGGACAGAGAGAGAGGGAGACACAGAATCTGAAGCAGGCTCCAGGCTCTGAGCTGTCAGCACAGAGTCTGACATGGGGCTCGAACCCACAGACCGTGAGATCATGACCTGAGCCAAAGTCGAATGCTTAACTGACTGAGCCACCCAGGCTCCCCTAGAATTAATTTCTAAGAAGGCCCTGGGACTCAGCACACAACAGTTTCCACTCCCCTCTTTTGTTGGTAATCAGGACCTCCTCACCTCTGCTTATTCTTTACAGGCGCTACGTAAAGTGCTCTGTGTACATTGTCACCTCGGTCTAATTCAATCCTTACTTCTGTGCATTGGGTTACATTTTATTATCCCCATGTTACAGATGAAGAAACTGAGGCCTAGAGAAAGATCCAGTAACTTATATGAAGCAGTTGTGTGTCAGGAGGAGTTGTGTGTCAGGAGTTGTGTGTTGGGAGGTGGGAAATGGTAGTCACATAGTTCTCATAGTCAGTGGCCTACCCTCATTCTCTGGTCCCCACTCTAGACCTGTGCGCCGGGGATCACCCTATCTCCTACTCCATCAACAGCCTCCCCGATGTCACTCTGCCCTAAATGGCCAGAAGCCATTCTCTTTACAAGTGACCATCATAGTGAAAACTTCTTCATTGAATATAACCCATCAGCTGAGTAATACTTTAGATAATCCCATGGCCCAGTTGTAAATAAGTGATCCATTCACCAGAGTGTTATTTGAACATCTACAAATGACAGGTGTAAAGGACTGTAACAGATAAAAATGAATTAGACACAGGTCCTGCCCTTAAGGGCCACAATCTAAAGATTTTTGAGGAAAATTAGAGATTATGGCCTCTGTATCTTTTAATTTGTTATATCAAATCTGCACTGTATTTGAAGCTGAATTGTTGGTCTGAAATGAATTATTATAGCAATTTTCCAATGGGGGAATGAAACCTGCTCGTGATGTGCTTTCTAGGAATCCATTGTGACAAAATATAGGGATTGCTTTCAGCATCTAAGACAGGGAAGGTTTATGCATCATTTTCAATTCTTTCACTTGGGAGACATATTTACTAATAATTCATTTACCCAGAGATGGAAAGATGAAGAAACATTCCCATTTTCCCTCCTACGTCTTGAAATGACAAGAGAAAGTCGTGGAATATAGATCAATAAACATGTCATGAAAAGGCTTGACTTAGGCCTTTTTTAGAATCTCGAGTTTTATTCGGTCTCTTCTCTGCCCTGGTTTGCAAAATTTGCTATCAGCTCTAAAATTATGCTCCATTCACTTTTCTTAAAAAAAAAAAAAAAAAAAAAGAAAGTCATGGTGTGTAACAGCATGGGTAGAGTGACATTCTGAAGACATCGCACGGAATGTAGAGAGAGATGCACCTGAGAATATGGACGAAATTCTAGTACATTTTCACACAAGGTATTGGCAGCTCAGCCTACAGACCACAAGGACGTACTTACAGGCAGGCACCTTTTATGACCGTGCAGGGTCTCATCAAATGTGTCAATTGCGTTTCAGACCCATCAGACCTTCCTCACTGTTGAGAAATACGAGGCCACATCAGCAACATGGCGGATAGTACATAACGACGCCTCCTGGGAGACACGGTGAGCTCGCCTGTTGGACATTTTGTCTTTCAAGCCATGGGAACAGTCGGTCAGTGATGCGGGGAAGACAAATGGGAACACGGGCTCAAGGCCGGAAATTACTGCTATCAAATTCCCATGGAGCCTTCTGGCCATATTTAGTGGATTTATTCGACTCCATTTGGACTCTCTCTCCCTGCGAAACAGTGGGACATGTGCTACTGTCAGGAGAGGTGCTAATGAGGTTGTGGCCTCCATTTTTGTAAACATCTGTTAATTTTGTTCTTTTCCACGGCCACAGACGTTACCCCTGAAGGCTGGCTAGCCTCAGCCATTCTTGCAAATGGGTCGCGAGGCACACGGGCCTCTGTAGAGCCTGACAGTTCCTTCTGGGAAAATAACAAGAGTCTATAGGCAAAATGATTACATGTTTATACGTGGCCAATGATTCTTCATTGGAATTACTAACACACGAGAAGCTTGAGTGTCTATCTTTTCCTGACTCCAGTGAGAATGGAATTTGCTTCTGGAGTTTCCTCAGAGAGGCATATCTCTGTGTTTTCGATACCAAATCCCTGAGCCGAATAAATATTTTGAAGATTTGCAAGTGGTATCTGAGATAAGAAAATGTTTTTGTTCCCAAGCGCATCCATTTCACACCGCAGGACAGTGGCAGGGAGTGGGCAAAAATTTTGGCAACTTGTACCTGACTCACATCACCCTAGATTAGGTCATTAGTTGCGTGTTGGTTTCCTTCACGTGGTTAACTGAAAATAGAGATGGGACCGTGCTGGGGCCCCTGTGATAGCCAGACATAAATCTGGGCCTCAATTTTCCTCGGATGTTTAGGAATCTCGGGCACAGATCATTTTTAAACAAATAATAAATACATATTTAGGGTTAAGCTAAGATTATACAGATGATAAAAAAGCATGATTTGTTTTCAAAAGCCCCAAATCGCAACAGCAGTGAACACTGAGGATACGTATAGGCTTGCTTCTGCCTTGTTCAGCAGCAGCTGGAATGTCACCTCTGTCATGAGAGCACGGGGCCTGTCGCCGAAACACACAGAATGTTGAGAACACTCTCTCCACCCAGGGAACTTACCGTCTACACAGTTGGGGTTATCAGTCACCCACTCTATCTCACTTACCTGCAAGAGTATCTCACCCGCTTGAGGTGGTCTACAAGGGCTCGTGTGAGCTGACTCGGTCTGTTTTTGTGACCTCAGCCCCTGTGTCACACTTCGCTGCCTCTTCCTTCTGCTCTTCCGCTGCACCACGTTTTTTCCTGCTCGGAACGCTTCGCACCCTCTGTTCCTTCTACCTAGAATGTCTTTCCTCTGGGCACGTGTGGGTTCAGCTTAAATAACATCTCCGTAGAGATACCGCTGCCATACTTGTTTCGTTTCACCCACCACTTTTAAAAATCATTTTGCGGTTTACCCGTTCACTGCCTTTCTTCCCCCCTTGCCCTAGTAGAACACAAGCTCCATGGAACTTGGAGCCATGTCTGTCTTGCTTACGGCCGTATCCTCGTGCCTCTAGAAAAGAGTCTGGCGCATGCACTCGTGAAGTATATATTTTTAACAAATGAATCTGGCTGGGAGAGGAAGTGTCAGTTGAAGCAGAGGACAGCAAGGGCAGAAACAGTGCCACAGCCGTTCTCAAACAGGAGACATCCCGTGTTCTGAGTATCGGGTGAGGCTTTTTGGGGATGGACAAGGTTTGGGTGGTTATAAAGGTAGAACAGGTAAGACAATTTCTACAAATGGCTATTAACTAAAGGTTCCCTTCTAGAAAGTATTTGTCCCTGTTTTGTTCATTGCTGCACTCTCAGTATCTAGGAGAGTGCCTGGCTTACGGTCGGTACTCCCTGAATGTTCATATAATGACCAGTCCTACCTTTGTCAAATCACACCTTTTTAAGAGCAAAACTTGGTTTGTTTGTTTGTTTCCTACCAACAGTTTCTATTGGCACAAGGGATTGCTGGGTCACAGCAATGCGACGATACAATGGCATATTCCGGGTACTGCCCAGCCTGGAATCTACAGAATGAGATACTTCGGACACCATCGGAAACAGGACTTTCTCAAGCCGGCCATCATACTTCCATTTGAAAGCACTTCCTCCGCCTTTGAAGTTGTAACTAGTTAATGAAAAGTTGATGAATAATTTAATGCGTGGCTGTCCTCCCTAGTTTATAAAAATGATTTCACACGAATGTAAACAATTGGGATGACTTCTATAATTGTCCCTGTTTGAGGACAGATAGTTTCCTGTGAATGGGACAGAGGTGTGTGTGTGTGTGAGTGTGTGTGTGTGTGAGTGTGTGTGTGTGTGTGTGTGTGACTGGTGGTCTAGAGCCTAACACATGATTTTCCTCGGGGCCATGCAACTGTTTGAAGGGACAGTTCCCCTCGATATAAAACCTCTGAAAAGTTAGAGTGGCTGAAGATGTGTGAACAGTGGTTCAAGTATTTATTTATAGAATTATTGAGTGTTAGGCTGGGAAAGTTTAAAGAGCTCATGTAGTTGGAGTCTTCATTTTGCAGATGGGAATGATGAAGTTTCATGGATTTAAGATGCACAAAGGCTACAGGACCTCTCCCCCCATCACACTTAAAAAAAAAATAGTATTACAAACATCGACCATAAACGTATAAGTCCAATTAGAGGCAACTGGTGTGGAAATGAGCATGTCAGCTTTTCTCTGTTTAGCCTCTCAAAGCGATTACCCTGGACTTGATGTACCTGGTCCAGAGTTGTTGATATTGGTAAATTATTTCTGGCCTTCAGAGGCCAAGTACAGGAAAGTCAGACTTAGAATATTTTGATCATGCCCTGTGTTTCCCTAAGTGCCCTTATCCCTCTGAATTGTGTCTCCTCTCCTCAAGACTGGTTCTAAGTGAGTTTCACTAATCAAATTCATCCCCAAAACCTAAGACTTGCCATTGGTGTAGATATTAAAACAAAAGTGTTAGTGGGTTGGAAGTCAGTCCTCAAAGAGCAAGATCTAAAATTCATTTATCTGTTCTTTTATCGCTCACTTACTCATGGACCCATTCAATCACACAGTATTTATTAACACCTACATGCCCAGTATTGTACTAGTGTTGGGCCTTGATAATTAGTTATCATATTTGAGATGAATGTATAAGTGTCAAAAGGGGACCGTTGGTGAAGAAGAAAATACTCAACTGAGGATATCAATTTTGGAAGGCATTTAAAAAGCAGTCATCTTCAAGTCCTATCTCACGTGTAATCTGTGTTGGGTGCTCGAATTTTGGGGGAAAGAGGCTCCAGACCATTTGGACAAAGTTGTTTCAAAAGTAATTCGAGGGCCTTATGAAATTCCCAGTCCAATGTCCTGAAGAATGAGATAGGACAATCTGACATTGATTGCCTGAAAGTACCAATTCCATTTAAAATTATCCAAGTTAACTGGAGCTAGCTCCCAGGCTACAAAGGAAATTTCCCAAACCCAAATCATGCTTTTGTATGAATGGCAGAGCTTTAGCATGTTAGGGAAAAATCAACCTTAATTTCAAAAACAAACTCCACAGCTTGAAAATAGTAATGATGCTAATCACGATGAGACTGACATTCATCTAGCTGTGACTCAACATGCTGTATTGCATTGGAACAAACCCGGAACGCTTTTTGATAACCCAGGGCTCTGGTTCTATGCGAGTTCACGGCTGGAGAATTAGCTCATCAGGATTCCAAAGGGTAGCGATCATTTTTCCTAATGACTGTTTGCTATCACAGTTCAGAGTCTTCCCAAGAGCAAGGAATTCTTAAAGTAGTTGACCTTAGATAAATTATATCAGAACTGATGATAAAATTGTTCCCATGACTCAGAAGCGTACTGAATTTTTTCCCACTACCTCCATGCCTCCCACTGCAACTTTCCTCAGTGGACCTGTGAGTCCCTGTCGTTCACTTGGACCTGTGCCAAGCCAGACACTGCATTGCCTCGTACTGATGCTTCTGCACCAGCCCTCTGTCCACCAGGACTCCTGCCCCCAAAGAACCTGCAGAAACCTGTCTGCACGCCCGCTGCCCTCTCTTCCAATCCAATTCCATTTTTTGCATTTTGTATGTAAAAATAAGACCAGATCCTGCCGCTGTAGAAACCATAGCTATTCACTTGTGCGTAAAAGAACACCACAAAAGAGGCAGTGATCTGTTAACATACAAACCTAGATCCAGGCTGTGTCATTGGAGCCAGACTATGGGGAGAAAGCCCCTGAAATTGGCGGCGAATATGGGGAAAAGGGGGCTGCTTGGGGGGGAGAACGCTTCTGCAGAAGATTTTGTGTCTCATGTCAAAGTGTCTGCATTTTGTTTGTTGTATTCTGCCTTCTCTGGTTTTAAGAATGCTGTGACTTCCTAAAAAAGCACTGACTGATCCCCCTACAATTTTCGATGAGTATTATATCAATTGCTAATATTCAATATAAGACTTAATAATAAATCACTGAATACAATTGTGCATGTATGGTCTATGGAGAAGTGGAACACTTGTTTTTCTTTTTAAAAACATTTTTTTAATGTGTATTATTTTTGAGAGAGAGAAACAGAGTGTGGGTGGGGGAGGGGCAGAGAGAGAGGGAGACACAGAATCAGAAGCAGGCTTCAGGCTCTGAGCTGTCGACACAAAGCCTGATGCGACGCGGGGCTCAAACTCATGACCATCACAGGGCTCCAACTCACGAGCCGTGAGATCATGACCTGAGCCGAAGTCGGACGCTCAACCGACTGAGCCACCCAGGTGCCCTTTGTTGTTTCTAACAGATGGACTGAACGGTGCTGGATTCCATGTGGGTCAGGTTGAAAAGTGATATGGATGGTCTCTGTAAGTAACCACCCAAACATAAAGGGTCCACTTCGTCCGTTCCTGTGCTCCAAAGATGTATTGCTGGAAAAATACATACAGTTGAACATATTTTAGGACTAGGGCAACCGAGAGTTTCCTAGGCAGGTAGTTATCTGTAAAATTGTCTCATGAGCTAATTCTGAAGATGCTAAGAATGACTATATTTGTGAATATGTTTCTCCAGGTTGCCTCCTCATACATCTCCAGCATAGGAAGACACACCGCCCTTTTCTTTTTTCAATTTTTTTTTAACATTTATTTATTTTTGAGACAGAGACAGAGCATGAATGGGGGAGGGGCAGAGAGAGAGGGAGACACAGAATCTGAAGCAGGCTCCAGGCTCTGAGCCATCAGCCCAGAGCCCGACGTGGGGCTCGAACCCACGGACCGCAAGATCGTGACCTGAGTCGAAGTTGGACGCTCAACCGACTGAGCCACCCAGGCGCCCCAACACACCGCCCTTTTCTAACATTGGTGCCTGGGTTTCATCTTTAGTCAACCAATTGCGTCATTAGATGATCCTTTTCATGCCTTTAGCTCTTCAAATAATGATTTTGCTTCCGGTATCCCAATGCCACCTGCTGGTTTATAGTGGCTTTTGGAACATCATGCCTTACATGAGGCCACAGAGGAAAATTTGCATGTTCCTTACATAATTAGAATGTGTTCAGCTGTAACAGCATATTCCTGATCAACAGGGGTCCAAGCGCTAAAGACATTGACAGTCGCACATAGCAATGTCTTAAGGTGACCAGTTCAGGTTTGGTGCAACCACTCAATGATGTCACTGCTTTTTTTCTTTTTTCTTAACCTATTAACTTTAACTTTTTGGCTGTCGCCTCAGTCTAAAGAGACCTACCTTGTGTCTTCATGCCATTGTGTGCAACAGCAAGAAGGAAGGGGAGAGTTCTTGGAATCTCTTTTTGGAAGGTGAAAAATATTTAGTGGGAACCCGAGTAGAATTCCCTTTCCATTTCCTTGTCTGGAATTGTGTCACATAGCTTTAAGGGAGCCCGAGAAAGAGAATATTTGGCATTTTCTGCCTCTAGAGAGGGTGACAAGTTCTGATAGCAAATCTGTTTTAGGAAAGAACACACCCTGGGGCTTAATGGTGACAGGGCTTGTTTTCTACATTGTGAAATACATGCATTCATTCAGCAAGTTCACACTGAGCGACTGTATACTTTGTGGGCATTGTGCTACCCCCTGGTGATACAGTAACGATCAAAGCAGAGCAAGTTCTTGCCATCAAGGAACTCAGACTTTTAATGGAAGAAGCAGACAAGTAAACAGGCGATTCTGTACAGAGTGACTCATACTGCTGCAGTTTAGGGTGTTAGAGATGGGACCTTCTATGGTCTTGGGGAGAATGCGGGAGGTTTCCTGGAGTAAATAACGTCTAAGCTAAGACCCAAAGGATATTAGCTAGAAGAAAGCTAATGGTGTGTGTGTGTGTGTGTGTGTGTGCGCGCACGCTCCTTTCCATGCATGGATGCAGGATGACTAGACTATTTCAGGTAAGGGGAATATCAAATAGCTAATCACGTCTGTAGTTCTCATGCAAGGGAGGAATGGCCAGAGAGGTAGCACTGAATTTCACCTTCATAAATAGCAATTTGGTTTTACGTTCATATTAGCATTTTCTCCCTTAAGACCCTTCATTTATTATATGCATGTGCTTGAATGTATTTTCCTTTTGCTAAACTAATAAAACACATCTTTTATAACTAAGGCAACTGATTTTCCCAGTCTCCAGTGACATTGGGCATCACCCTTCTGTCTTCATAGTCTGTAAGTGTTTCTTGGAATTGGATTTATTGACATTTCTTTTACTTCTGTCCATCTCATGTTTCCAAATCTTGATTTCCTTTTGCTTTTTTGTGCCTATGAAGTGGGATATTACAGCCAACAAAGACCACTCTCTCCCTTTAGATGGAGTCCAGAGTTCCAGCCTACATCTTTTAAGTACTTATTAATACTAAAAAAACCTGACCCACCCACATAAACTTCAAAGTACCTCGGTGTACATAACTTCAAGTTATCGGAGATCCAGGCTGTGTTGACCCTTTTCTGGCTGTGTTTTAGGATAATGAGCAATCCAGAGACCTGGGATATTGGCTTAACACTAGCAGAAGAGAACAAATCTACCAGCCCACTTTCTGGAAAGATTGACTTGACCATATTGCCTGTTTTATTGGTGCTTCCTTATTCAATACAAGACCAGGGTAAGCTAAACGAACCTAAGAACTTAACATCTCAGCAATTACAACCTTGC